CCCCTTAACTAAGTGCCAGGCGGGTAGTTAATCACTTTAACTACAAACAATCACACTTAAGCTACATAATCTTTACTCCCTGGAATGGAGATAAGAAACGCCCTAACCTTTGGAATAGAGATTGATAGGATTGGAATCAACTGGTATAAATACAGATGTAACAAGACAACAGGACACAGAACCTAGAGACAGAACCTAGTGAGAGAACATGGCGAGAGAACATGGCAAGAGAACCTAGACAGAACCTAGACAGAACATGGCAGGAGAACCTGGATAGAACTTGGCTGGAGATCCTGGCTAGAGAACCCAACTATGCTGATCAACGGAATTCTACCTCCGTGTCCTTCCTTCTTCGACTCCGTCCACACCTTTGGGGACCCCTGGACCTGCTGGGGTTGGACCCCAGCACAAAGCAATTTTGGATTTCTCACTGGATCTTTGAAACACTAAGCCTAGATCAGAGGCCAGTGAGGGGTTTTGGTGGATGACAAGACTGGGGCACAGCATTCTTTCAAACCACACACACCAGGAGCCCCAGGCCACGGCTGGCAGACTGGACCAGTGCAACGGAGGGAGAATCAGAAGGGGCAGCACCAACAATCCCAAGCGAGTTCCCTTCCGGCCTGTATTCAACTAATAAAATCTCGCGTTGGCTTTCAGGATCCTGTTACTCCATACAGACATGGAAGGGTAAAATTCCAGACAAGCATATTATCTTTGAAGAAATAGTTTCCTGCCTGGCCGGCGTGGCTCAGTGGTTGAGCATTGACCTACGAACCAGGAGGTCACGGTTTGGTTCCCGGTCAGTGCACAGGTCGGGGTTGTGGGCTCGAGCCCCAGTAGGGCGCGTGCAGGAGGCAGCCGAACAATGGTTTTTCTCATCGTTGATGTTTCTCTCTCTCTCCCTCTCTCTGTAATCAATAAAAAGTATGTATGTATTTATTTATTTATTTGTTTTATTATTTTTTTAATATATCTTTATTGATTTCAGAGAGAAAGGGAAAGAGAGATAGAAACATCAATGATGAGAGAGAATCATTGATTGGCTGCCTTCTGCATGTCCCCTACTGGGGATCAAGCCTGCAACCCAGGCATGTGCCCTTGACTGGAATCGAACCTGGGACCCTTCAGTCCGCAGGCTGACGCTCCATCCACTGAGCCAAACCAATGAGGGCGGTATGTAATTTTTTTTTAAAGAAGTAGTTTGCTTAGCCAACTTCTACGATCAATCAGAAATCGCCAAGCGGAGGTTTTGCAAAGTAAAGGTCCTACTTGGGCAGCAACAGGGCTTCCCCTTCGTTGGAGATGAGCATTATCACGGTGGGAGGGCCGACTTCCTGCTTCCAGATCAGCAGCTGCTTGATGTTCTCAAAGCATTTCACCAGGTGGGGCTGTGGACCAGAAACCAGCGTCAGCAGCAGCAGAACCCCACGTGGCTTTTGGGGATAACGCTTCGGAGCAGAGGACAGTGGTCTCACCTGGACAGACTCGGGGTCGCTGCTCCCCGCCAGGATCGCGAGAAGTTCCTCGTTGCTAAGGAAGTAGAATCTTGGGAAAATCATCCTTTTAACTTCAAGGTAGTCCTGTCCAGAACCAAAAGAAGTGCAATTCAGAACATGTGTCATCAGGATATGACTCCCGCTGGGCCTCCATGGGCACACAAAAGCCACAATGTTAAAACTGCAGGTGCCCTGGCCAGTGTGGCTCAGTGGATAGAGCGTCGGCCTGCGGACTAAAGGGTCCCGGGTTCGATTCCGGTCAAGGGCATATATCCTCAGTTGCAGGCTCCTCCCCGGCCAGGGCCCTGATTGGGGCGCGTGCAGGTAGGCACTTAAAAATGTGAGACTTTGCTGAAGATCATTTAGATTGGTCCATGCACGTCTCTTCCCTTTCTCTATACCAGTCAGTGATGGCGAACCGGTGACACGCGAACTCATTTTTTTTGATTTTTCTTTGTTAAATGGCATTTAAATATATAAAATAAATATCAAAAAAAGTCTTTGTTTTACTATGGTTGCAAACAAAAAATTTTTTCTGTATGTGACACGGCACCAGAGTTAAGTTAGGGTTTTTCAAAATGCTGACACGCCGAGCTCAAAAGGTTCGCCATCACTGGCCTAGGGCTAAGTAATCCACAAGGACTACCCAGCAGGGGTATAAATGCTTAATGGGGTAGAGAGAGAGAGAGAAACATCAATGATGAGAGAGAATCATGGATCGGCTGCCTCCTGCACGCCCCCGACTGGGGATGGAGCCTGCAACCCAGGCATGTGCCCTTGACCGGAATCGAACCTGGGACCCTTCAGTCCATAGGCCGATGCTCTATCCACTGAGCCACACCAGCTGGGGCTCTCTATAGTGTTTGCACGAGCTCTACAGATGGTGAGCGTTGGAAATACCGTTGGGAAGCTAGAGCAACAACGAAAACCTGCCCTGGGGTGGGACCACGTGGTGTGTTACACGGCAGGGTGTGAACTGACCGGTTCTGCACTCTAGGGCCTCGGCGGCGTTACCTCCAGACTTTTCTTTATACGTTCGAGAGAGACGTTACAGTTTCTCAGGATCCCAAGGACGCCCGTGGAGATGGCTATTCCCAACGCGTTCAGCTTGTTTTGGATTTTTAACATGATCTCCTTCCACATGTCCATCACCTGAGAGAAGAGTTCCGATTCTGCTGGGAGCTGCCTGCAAAAAGAAAATTGGGGATCGTTTTATTTTTTGAAGAAATGATCATGAAAATCTGCCAGCTCAGTGCATCCGCCACCCAATATTGTTCAATTTACAAAATGTTGTGCTCCGTTATATTTTTGCTGATCGAGCATTAACTCAAGTTTGTTTGTGTGTGTTTTTTTAGTGTCTGTTGTGTACTAGTGGTGTACATGGTAGGAAATACTACCATACATTGGCTATCCAGCCATCATTTAACAAGATCAGACTTAACGAGGGGTATAAGCTTGAGATATAAAAGTTCTACATAGAGTGTGGGAGTGATTTCTGTCCGAGGGCTTGGAATAAAATAAAGGGCTACGAAAATTCGGCCCTGGCTGGTTTGGCTCAGTGGATAGCGCGTCGGCCCATCATCTTTCTCCGTGAATCGAAGGCAGGTCTATTCCAGACCCACTTTTTCTGTTCTTTACAGCCATGGCAAAGGGGCCTTTAATCAGAAGCCCTGTTTTCAGCCTGCTAGCCAATCCTGTAAAAGAACAACTTGGGGATATTCCGAAATCCCTTACCTAGGAGTCTTCCCTCTCATTAAGAAATGTTTCGCCGAACCGGTTTGGCTCAGTGGATAGAGCGTCGGCCTGCGGACTCAAGGGTCCCAGGTTTGATTCCGGTCAAGGGCATGTACCTTGGTTGCGGGCACATCCCCAGTGGGGGGCGTGCAGGAGGCAGCTGATCAATGTTTCTCTCTCATCGATGTTTCTAACTCTCTGTCCCTCTCCCTTCTTCTCTGTGAAAAATCAATAAAATATTAAAAAAAAGAAAGAAATGTTTCGTAAAAGGTAGCATTGAGGTTTGCATTTAAGGCACTAAGTTGTCGTGACCATAAAGGACATACCCCTTAGTTATATGGTTTCACCTCCTCAGAGCACTTTGAGAATAAGTGTAGATTAATAGAGTCTAGAGCAGTGATGGCGAACCTGTGACACGGGTGTCAGAGGTGACACGCGAACTCATTTTTTTGGTTGATTTTTCTTTGTTAAATGGCATTTAAATATATAAAATAAATATCAAAAATATAAGTCTTTGTTTTACTATGGTTGCAAATATCAAAAAAATTCTATATGTGACACAGCACCAGAGTTAAGTTAGGGTTTTTCAAAATGCTGACACGCCGAGCTCAAAAGGTTCGCCATCACTGATCTAAAGCATTCATATGGTAAGAACTATATGCATACAACAAAAAGGGATACTGTTTCCTACGAAGTAATGCATCTAAACATTTCTCTTTTGTAAGCCCCTAGTAGCTCACCTATGCATCTAAAATAAAGCTCAAAATACTTAACCTGATATTCAAGGTTTTCTATCATCTGCTCTAATATGCCTTATAAACATACACCTCATCACTTTCTACCTTATTTCAGAATGGCCCCTAGACTAGCTTGTGTGATGTCCACAGTTTAAATTCTGCCTCGATAATACATATGTCTCAACTTAAGCACTCTTAAGACCAATCAGTTACCAAGAGACCAATTAATTCCAATGCTAGGAATAGAAAGAGATGGTAAAATTTTCAACATTGTCTAGGTCAGTGGTTCTCAACCTTGGCTGCACGTTAGCATCACCTGGGAATCTTTTAAAAATCCTGATTTCTGGGCCTCATCTTCCGGAAATTCTGTTTCTTTGTTACTAATGTTGTGGCCTTACCCCATAACAAAAAAACAGAATTTCCGGAGGATGAGGCCCAGAAATCAGGATTTTAAAAAGATTCCCAGGTGATTCTAATGTGCAGCCAAGGTTGAGAACCACTGCTCTAGGTCCTTTATTCTTTCACGTGGTCCAGAGTAAGAAATTATCATTTATGTATGAATGTTACTAAAAACACGCTTACTGTTTACATCAAAACCACACTAACAGACCGGCCAGTGTGGCTCAGTGGTTGAGCGTCAACCTATAAACCTGGAGGTCACTGTTCAATTCCCGGTCAGGGCACATGCCCAGGTTGCAGGTTCGAGCCCCAGTGTGGGGTGTGCAGGAGGCAGCCGATCAACGATTCCTTCTCATCACTGATGTTTCTCTCTCTCTCTTCCTCTCCCTTCCTCTCTGAAATCAATAAAAATATTTTTTAAAGAACCACACTAATAAAGAGACACATATTGTAGCTTGGAGATTATAATGATGTATCTGACATTTCTTCCCTGTCCTTAATAGCTCCCTATCAATAACTGAGAAATAAGGCTTTAAAAATGATATTTTCCATTTTTTATGAAGGAAAAAATATAATAATCATTTGGCAGCGAGAGTGTTCATTGAAGAAATGATTTCTCAAGAATCACAGAGAATAAATTACCCACGATGATTTTTTTGTGCCTGTATGTGGCATATTTCAAGTTTTTACCTTTTTACCTCCAAAGAATTGAAGACTGGTTCAAGGTAAAGCCAAGATCTTTGACAGTTCACCCACTCCTCCAAGGTGTACGAGAAGAGAGTCAACTTTTGATCCCATTTATCCACAAGACCCTACAAGGACAGAAACCAAAATCTAAATGGAAAATTACTTGGAAGAATCATAGAATAGAAACTGAACACAAATCTGATTATTAGTCACTGACATACAGGAAGTAATGCATCGAGGGTCTGTACATGAATATAAGTCTCATTATATTTAGTATTGGGGGAGGTGTGAGATGTCCTACTCATTCAATTTTCTGTCTTATTCATTATGCAATATACAAATCTTTTTGGTATGTATATGCTTTCATTCCTTTCTTTAAACATTGTTGCACAGATGTACATACGCATATAACATCTTTAATAATTTACATAAATGCAATCATATTATATACATTGTTCTGTGGCTTTCTTTTTTTTTAACCTGTGTTTTAGAGAAGTTTTATACAAGTGCTTGTAAGGTTTCTTCATTCTTTTAATATCAGAAAACTTCCATTAGTAATAAAGGCATTTAGTGCTCTAAATATTCCTTTTTTAGGGCTCTAGTCAACTGTCAAAGGTTTGATTTATAATTCTCTCCTTTTTGCTTATTTTCAGTTAAAAATTTGATTACATTTCCTATATATTCTTCTAGTTGCTTTTAAATTTCCATTTTTTGTGAGTGATTTGGTTGTTGTCTATTTCTTGCAACTTTTCTGCTGTTCAGTTTTTATTTTACTGCACATGGTTAGAGAACAGTCTATGTGATTTAACTTTTTTGCGGGGGGGTGAATTCACTTAGTGTTCTTCTCTGAGGTCCAATTGACATTTTCCCTAAATGTTTGTATGTCTGCAAATACTATGAATTCCATCTGTTGAACAGATATTTCTCTCACACTATCTATAATCAATTTCGTTAATTTTACTAGTAAATATTTCTATATTGTTACACATCTTGTAGAGTTTCCTGAAGTTTAAATGATTCTCATCTATGTTGTTGGATGGAGGCTGCCCAGGAAGGACTATCAGAGAACACCAAATACAAGCTCTGTGGTTTAATTTCAACTTACACTAGAATAGATGTGGAGGCTGCTGTTTGGTACAGAAATAATTGCAGGAACACACGAGTATAAAGCCAGGATGGCCCTGTGTAAGAGCAATAGCCGGTTTGGCTCAGTGGATAGAGCGTCGGCCTGCGGACTGAAGGGTCCCAGGTTTGATTCCAGTCAAGAGCACATGCCCGGGTTGCAGGCTCGATCCCCACTAGGGAGTGTGCAGGAGGCAGCCGATCAATGATTCTCTCCCATCACTGATGTTTCTCTCTCTCTCCCCCTCTCCCTTCCTCTCTGAAATCAATAAAAACACGTATTTTTTTTTAAAAAGAGCAATAACACAGGGAATTAAAATGAGGCATTCCTCTCCAGCACACAGGGCAATGGTCCGGGCACGGGGGGGCCTGTGGGCAGTGGCACTGCTGGGAACGTCCCGGCTTGCGGGCTCCTGTTTGCATCTTGCCTAAATTCACCTCGTCTGCCCAAATGAACCGTTCTGACAATTCCTCATGAACAGCGAACGTTTCCATAAAAAGTTATTTTTTTAGTCTTTTATCCGCTATTCAATCCAGTTTGATGGAAGTATTTCAATGCATTATTCAAATCCAATGCTCACAGATGGCAAAAATGTGAAGTGATCAACAAAAGGGTGGACAATGACAGCAGGTCCCCTGGGCCCCACCACCTACCTTAATGGGCTCGCTATACGAGGACCCTTTCACGGTGGCGAGCATGACCTGAGACTCCTCCAACTGGGCCAGCAAGTCATCCAGAGACGAAATGATGAGGATCTCGTCCGTCTCCGTGTGATGAAGGACCAAGTGCAAAGGGGTCGTCTTCCAAAGGTCGATGATCTTAAACAGCAGCTTTTCAAGAGCAGCTTCGTGCGTGGCTGAGGTGGAGATTTCATTGATTTCATTTTCATACTGACACATCTGGGAGGGAAATTCGTGTTTTTTTTTTAATGGCAGCGCAGCAGATCATTCCGGATACATCGAAAATGGAAGACGGCCACGAACACGTGGCAGGGACAGCGGAAACAGTGAAGGTCGGATGCGCTCGGGTTCCATCCCAACCACAGGCTGCGTGGCGGGCCCTTTGTGATGCGCCCCCCCGCCCCCATTTCTTCATTACAGCAAATCATTTAGAAGATTATAGGTATAAAATACTGTGATTGATTTCATTAGAGACTGTCAACACTGAATCACGAAACATCCACGGAGCTTATTGTAAGCCAGGCGCAAAAATAGAAAAACCTTCAACCAGACGTTCCATGAATGCCTCCCTTTTCTAACTCCCCATCCCTGTAGATGTACTTGCTCGCTTAAAATTAGCCCCGGTGGCATTTCACCCGTTTTTGTTTTATTCCGAACTCCCCTCGCTTACCTTGAGCACGAGAAGGCTCTCTATGGTACAGTTTCTATCCAGAGTGATGGACTTCCCAATGATCTCCTGGAAAGCCTCCCAGTGCCGTGGCTTGAGACACGGGTTCCCCAGGGCGATGATGATGGGCAGCTCTTGCTTAAAGCTGGTCACCGACTGCTTCAGGTAGGTGACCATGTTGTTCTGGGGTAGGTCTGTGAACAGCAATGGGTCGGTGGGCTGATGACATGCTCACTGTATTTTTTAAACCAGACTGCATTGATCAGTTATCCGTCTGCACTAAAATAGTTTTATTACTATCATCCTCCCGTAAGACTGAAGTATGGAGTAAAGAGAAATGGCACTGCTGATCAGAGAACCAAGTTACCTGATGGCATTTGATGCTAGGGAAGCTGCTACAGGGTTCCGAGTGTCACTGACAAGACAGACAGACAGACAGGCACACGTTGGCATTCAAAAGACTATAATAGGGCCCGGCCGGCGTGGCTCAGTGGTTGAGCATCGACCTACGAGCCAAGAAAATATATGTCTTTGCTTTACTATGGTTGCAAATATCAAAAAATTTCTATATGTGACACGGCACCAGAGTTAAGTTAGTGTTTTTCAAAATGCTGACACGCTGAGCTCAAAAGGTTCGCCATCACTGTTCTAGAGTGTAGCGGAGAGGTGAGGGAGGGATTTAAAATTCTACCTCGATTTCCCCTTCCCACGTGAAAGGCTTCCTTTGGGAGCGGGTAGGATAGCGCACCTGCTCGCACGGGCACAGCACCTCTGCACTGACCCATTTCCCTTGTGATGCTGCGCAGAGGGGACCCCCTCAAAGTCACTTTCAGCTGCGTCCTCACTGCCCAGAGGGTCCGCGATGTGGGTGCAGACCCCGCAGGTGGGCCCTTAGCATCCACCCAGCTCCGGCCCTAGGAAGAGTGGGAGTCCAGGGGGAAGTGTCTGGGGCCCTACCTGGTTTAAAGGAGACGCAAACTGCCCTAGCTGGTTTGGCTCAGTGGATAGAGCGTCGGCCTGCGGACTGAAGGGTCCCAGGGTCGATTCCGGTCAAGGGCATGTACCTGGGTTGCGGGCACATCCCCAGTAGGGGGCGTGCAGGAGGCAGCTGATCGATGTTTCTCTCTCATCGATGTTTCTAACTCTCTATCCCTCTCCCTTCCTCTCTGTACAAAATCAATAAAATATATTTTTTTAAAAAAAGGAGACGCAAACTGTTATTCATGACGTTAAGCAAATTTGGGGCCAAAGTCTCCATCTCTCTTTTTTTTTTTTTTGCTTCAGGAAATAATCCCACCTGCGCCCTGGGCCGTCTCTCCAGCCGTGAGCGGTCAGGTCGTGGGGACTGGGGGAGAGAGGGTGACCCTGCTGACCCAGGGGGCGTCTTGTATGTAACTCCGGGCGGGCCACCACGGGGAGGGTGCGTTTACCTTTTTCCAGGACCAAGATCAGGCTCAGCCACTTGGACACGTTGCTCTGCACCGACTCTATGTCAATGTCGTGAAGGGTGCTGGCCCTCCACTCCTGGAAGAGCGCTCTCCACTCCTCCTGCGCCTCCCACAGGATCTTCCTCAAGGTCAGCTCGTAGTCGATGTCGGAGATCTCGGCCGCCACCGCCTGGGTGAGCTCCTCCATGTTCAGGGGGTGCAGGTGCGACTGGGCCTCGCTGATCGACTCCTGGTAGTTGGCACAGATCTGGACCTTGTTGGCCAGGGTGGCGGCTTCCTGGGAGAAGGCCTGGACCATTTCCATCGCGGTGGACGCCGGGGTCCCCATGTGCAACAGAACAGGCGTCCTCACCTGGAAAAGAGCAGGGACACACGCCAAGAGGTCACAGCGCTCGGAAGGTGGCCACGCTCACGGACCGCGTCTCAGCACACAGCCCAACGTCATGTGCAACCACCATCTGGGGAGATTACCTTTAGCGTGTAATTCCTTGTGTTGGTTACGATTCACTGTCATTATTTTTTAAAATCTATTTTATTGATTTTTTACAGAGAGGAAGGGAGAGGGATAGAGAGCTAGAAACATCGATGAGAGAGAAACATCGATCAGCTGCCTCCTGCACACCCCCCACTGGGGATGTGCCCGCAACCAAGGTACACGCCCTTGACCGGAATCGAACCTGGGACCCTTCAGTCCACAGGCCAACGCTCTAGCCCAGCGGTTCTCAACCTGTGGGTCGCGGCCCCTTTGGGGGTCAAACGACCCTTTCACAGGGGTCGCCTAAGACCATCGGAAAACACATATATAATTATACATTGTTTTTGTGATTAATCACTATGCTTTAATGATGTTCAATTTGTAACCATGAAAATACATCCTGCCTATCAGATATTTACATGATGATTCATAACAGCAGCAAAATTACAGTGATGAAGTAGCAACGAAAATAATTTTATGGTTGGGGGTCCCCACAACACGAGGAACTGTATTCAAGGGTCGCGGCATTAGGAAGGTTGAGAACCACTGCTCTAGCCACTGAGCCAAACCGGTTAGGGCCATTGTCATGATTATTATTACCATCAGATCTATAATTTCCGGTGTACCTTCTCCATTTCAGGCGCGGTGGCAACACGTTACCTTGCTTACTAAATCCATACACCCATCTTCAAAGACAGTTACTAGTTTGTACAATTTTTCAAAGAACTTCCGAGGTCGTAAATAATCTTCCCGTCGTCAGATGGTAAGCGGCGGTGCCGGGTGTGGCCCGCGTTCCCGCTTCCTGACCCTGGTAAAGGGTGCCTTACTTTTATGATGGTTGTCACGTGTTGCCTCGTGTGCGAGTTTTATTCTTGCACAGGACATTGTGGGCATTTGCAACAATGACATCCAAAGACAGAGAGGTGTGAGTAAAATAAAAGTTTGCTCCGATTTTCCTTACTAAGTGAACGACTTCTTAAGATTAAGGATAGTGCCCTGACCGGTTTGGCTCAGTGGATAGAGCGTCGGCCTGCGGACTGAAGGGTCCCAGGTTTGATTCCGGTCAAGGGCGTGTACCTGGGTTGTGGGCACATCCCCAGTGGGGGGTGTGCAGGAGGCAGCTGATCAGTGTTTCTCTCTCATCGATGATTCTAACTCTCTATCCCTCTCCCTTCCTCTCTGTAAAAAATCAATAAAATATATTTTAAAAAAAAGGTTAAGGATAGTTTCATTGGTTTAGTCTTTGTATACCTCAGAGAACCCCGCACCATCAAAGGCAGGTGGGAGCTGTTTATTAAAACGTTCCTGAAAGAACAAATTCATCTGGATCCTATCACCTTATTCTTTTGAAAAATCCAGCCCATGGGACTGCATATAATACTGTGTTATGGGGAGTGTGGTCGTCAACTCAACACTGAGAACACCGTAACAGTGAGTTGTATAAAATTGTTAAACCATGTATCTGTGATAATGGATGAGGCTTAATATATCATCTGTAACAGCGATGCCTATATAAGAAAAGTTTTCCTTAGCGAGCTTCTCCCATAATTTCCCACTCATTAATACTTATTTATAAATGAGTTATCTTGAGAGAGGAGCGAATACTTGGAGGACTGATCTTACTAGCTTAGATGGAGTCAAGGCAAACTTTTGCCACTCCCTACCAGCAGTCTTCAAACAGAGATCCTCCAAGAATGACCGCAGTCAACAGTATGTACATGAAATAGTTTGAAAGGTTATACAATGGAAGTTGGATCTGGGCATCAACAGGCCCCACCTCGTCTCTCCCAATAAAACAGCTATAAACCCTGGACAGACCCCAGGAGCAGCTACTGAGGAATCTGAGAGGACACAGTGAAGGCAGACTGAGGGAGAAGATGCTCATTTGAAGTGCTACCGAATCAGCAGCAAGTCGACTATTTTTTCCCTCCAGGACCCCCTAGCACAGTTACTGGTGCTCAGTGAATGTTCGGTGTCTGACAGTTTGCTTCTCGTGATAAGTGAAGCTGGAACTACCATTACCACTGGGCCTAGACCAGGGGTGGGGAACCTTTCTTCTGCCCAGGGCCATCTGGATGTTTGTAACATCATTCGCGGGCCGTACAAAATTCACTGCTGGTGGGCATGCAGCCTGGTGCAGCCACTATGGAAAACAGTATGGGGTTCCCTCAAAAACTTAAACATGGAACTGCCATTTGACCCAGCGACCCCACTTCAAGGGAATATATCCTAAAAACCCCCAAAACATACCAATCAGAAAGAATGTACGCACGCCTATGTTCATAGCAGCATTACTCACAATAGCTAAGATCTGGAAACAGCCCAAGTGCCCATCAGTAGATGAGTGGATAATAAAGTTGTGGCACATTGACACAACGGAATACTATGCAGCTGTTAAAAAGAGGGAGCTCTTGCCCTCTGAGACAGCATGGAGGGAACTGGAGAGCATTATGCTACGTGACACCAGTCAGTCAGAGAAAGACAAATATCACATGATCTCACTTATTTGTGGCATCTAATGAACAAAAAACTGATTGACCAACAAAACAAGACCCTAAGCACGGAGGCATGGAACAGACCGACATGCCTCCATGTGGGGGTGGGGGATGAGGAGAGAGAAACCAAAGAACTTATCTGCTTATACGCACAGCCCATGGACAGGAGGAATAGGGTGGCGAAGACCTGGGGGGAGAAGAGGGGGAGGAGCTGGGCAGAGGGAGGTAAAGGGGAGGGTGAAATGGGAGACATCTGTATTATTGTCAATAAAAAATAGTAATAATTTTAAGAAATTAAATAAAAATTAACCTGCTGTATTCGGTCAAACATTTAACTAACTCACCCCTAATGCCTTGGCAGGGCCAGACCCAATGATTTCACGGCCTCATACGGCCCACCAGCCGGACGTGCCCCACCCCTGGCCGAGGCTAAGACCCAGGAAGATCTAAGGCAGGGGTCCTCAAACTTTTTAAACAGGGGGCCAGTTCACTGTCCCTCAGACCGTTGGAGGGCCGGACTATAGTTTAAAAAAAACCTATGAACAAATTCCTATGCACACTGCACATATCTTATTTTGAAGTAAAAAAAAAAACAAAACGGGAACAAATACAATATTTGTATTTGCATGTGGCCCGCGGGCCGTAGTTTGAGGACCCCTGGTCTAAGGGTATCTTTGGCCTTTTCATGCCATGCCTTCCCCCCCCGACCCCCAGACCCCCTCGGGCAGTCTGTTGAAGCCTGTGGTGAACCAGCTTGGCTGTCGTTTGCTGTCGACCTTCACTCAGAAGGGAAACACATTTTCATAACGGAAGCAAAATTTCAGTTGGAGGTTCGTGAGAACAGACATGCACTGTCACTTCCCATTCAAGCTTCACGCGTCACCCAGATTCTGTCTGTGGGTTCCGGGTTAGGAATCCGTGGATTCAATCACTGACCTAGGCGTCCACAGGAAGAAAACACCGGCCTGCTTAGGCCGACCTGAGACCGAGACCCGGCTGACTTTTCACGAAACACGGAAACTTACCTTGGCCTTTAAGTGACTGGCGTCGGTCCGCAGGCCGGTGACGTAGGCTTCTAGGTTGTCTCTGAACTTGCCAATGGCAGAGTCCTTGTTCAGTTTGCTCAGCTTCACAGCACTTTTGAGTTGAGTGAACTTGATGATAAGGACTTTATAGGTGGCGACTTGCTCTTCTGAAATATAGACCTGGTAATAACTCAGAACAGAATACAGTTGAGCAATGGTTGAGTACTCTTTCTCTAGGTTAGGTATTCTGGAGGAAATTGCATCCAGAAAAGTGAAATGTTCCACAAATTCTTCTATTTCAATGGGATGGCACTCCAGTCTTTTCAACGATGAGTCTATAACCTGCAATCATGGACACGTCCATTATAATTCCATAATGATTTTTCACTACTTTAGAAGAGTAATGACTCGTTTTTAATATCTCACACTAACTTAACATAATTATAACTCGAGGGGAAAAAAATGAAGACATCATCTAGAACACTGATACCAAAACCAGATATGGATGGTTAAGGAAAAGAAAAATCACAAAGCAATTTTGCTGACAAGCATAAGTGCAAAAATCTTAGAAATAATGTGTTTGCAGCCCGGCCGGTGTGGCTCGGTGGTTGAGCTTCAACCTATGAACCAGGAGGTCACGGTTCAATTCCTAGTCGGGTCACATGCCCAGGTTGCAGGCTTGACCCCCAGTGGGGGGCGTGCAGGAGGCAGCCGATTGATGATTCTCTCTCATCATTGATGTTTCTCTCTCTGCCTCCCCCCTTCCTCTCTGAAATCAGTAAAAACATATTTCAAAAAGTAATAATGTACAGGTACGTGCCTGTGCATGCTGGCAATCTACATCCATCAATTTGGATTCGAGATTAACCTTAGAAAGTCAATTAAGGCAATTACCCAGGTTAAAAGATGAAAGAAAAACAACTATGATCATCGCAGTAGCTGCGGAATAAGTACTTGATAAGGTTCGCTTATGATATAAAAAATTCTACGATATTAGGAATTCCTTTCAAAATAAGGAGATTTCCTTAATTATGTAAAGGAATACTACCCAAAGCCTCAGGAAACAAAAATGCCTTTGGGGTATGCAGCAGCCAGAAAGAGAATGAACCAGCAGAACTCTCAGAACAGGTTCCCCAAGCTGCTTTGAGCCCATCCTGTGTTTAGTGATTTCTGATTAAAAGCGAGGCATTGCTGATGCTGCATGTCACAGAGGTCTGATTCTTGTTGCAGTTATTAAAGGGTTCGGTCCTTCATTTGGTGAGGGGGTTGTTTGCACGTCTTTTGCAGTTTGCTCCCTTGGAGGCCTCGTTTTCATCTTTGCATTTAGAATGCCGACCCCTTTAGTGACCAGCTCCATTGCTGAGGCGAACCCCTCTAGGCCAGGGGTGGGCAACCTTTTTGTGAGTGCGTGCCCAAACCAGCAAAATCTCTGACTCAGAATTCTTCTGCGTGCCAACCCTAATTTTTTGAGAACACGTTACGCCTACTTGATATCTCTTCAGGTGGACGTATGTGAAGAACCTTGAAGAAATCATACAATTCATTCGAGCGACAAAAACACAGTATATGATGATGAAAAATATTTATTTTTTAATGTATACATGTACACTGATGGTCCGACAGAAAACTTTATGACTCCGTTTGATATTATCAGTGGGACTTTTGCTGCTGCATCACTGATGACAGAGATTTTACATCAGGTTTATATTTCGTGACCTTCAGAGATATGCACGAGCTACTACTTTCATCCGTCAGGCTACTCCTATTACGAGACTTAACAAAACTCATCACTGAGAACAAAGATTCACAAGCGTGTGTGGATGAAAACATAGAGAGTAACGCTGTTGCAAAGTTTTTTAAACAGAAAAAATTTTCCGGAATGGCATTCCAAGTCCTCAGTAGTTCGTTTTCGACACTATTGAAATTGCTCTTCCCCTCCCTCGTCAATCCACGCCTATGGTCTTTAAGATAACTTGTTATGTAAAATTATTTACTTATCTAAGATGCACCTACACTGAATTTATCTGAAAAATAAAAAAAAGTCAATATTAAGAAAAAAAATTGTAAATGGAAGATTATAAGAGAGGGTTTCGCGTGCCAGCAAAAGTTACTGGCGTGCCATGTTTGGCACGCGTGCCAGGGGTTGCCCACCCCTGCTCTAGGCTCTCCACTGAATGCCCTCTATACTCACTAGGACCCTCCACTCTGACTGCCTGGGACTTGACTCGCAGGAGCTCTGGCCATTGTTCTGCTTACAGCTCTGGGGGTTTTAGCCCCTCTCTGTGGATTTGGCTCCAGGTCCCTGCAGACATGCTTGGTAGCTGCAGCTGGGAGAGTCCTGGGTCCTGGGACCCTCGTGCACTTTTCTGCTGTTTTATTTGTGTGAGTGCGTGTGCGTGTGTGTGTGTTTGGGCGGTGGTGGTGGTTTTTATTGTTTTGTTTTGCTTTTCCTAGCTCCCTTCTTTGACTCTAAAAATGAAAATTTTTATCCATCTCAGCTCAGTGAGGCCCCTAGGCTCTCTTCCGGTTCCTCCTCCCTGTACTTGTGGTCCAAAGCTTTCCTCCAGGTAGAAATCCCGTACGTCATTTGCTTTCCTGGTCTCCAGGACCACAGTCCTGCACTGCTGGTGATGCAGTACCTGAAAGCATTTCTCTCATTTGTTTGCTTCAGTCTTCTGTTCTCTGTAGAGCGGAAAGTGAAATTAAGTCTAGTCCTGTTTCTCCATCATGGCTAGAGCAGAGGTTTTGAGCTAGAGCAGGCTCATACCTTCAGAGTTCAAAAACATTATACTCTGATTCATTTCTGCGGAATTCAAATCTTTAAAAACTCGATGAAGATGACCTTAAGTGTCACATAAAAATGTTTTTAATAGAAGAGACATATTGGTATTTTAGTAATGAACTAGAACTAAAAGTAGTACTAAGTCACCTCCGTGAAGACTAACCGTTGGTGGAGGGTAGGAGTGGGGAGTTCAACTGTCCCAACATCTCATTTTCGAAGGAGGGGAGAATTAGGGAACGACACCGTCCTACATACCTCACCTCATTGGGGCAGTCAGTGCACAGGTTCGGGAGGCTGGACAGGTAGATGTGTCTGTTATGCAGGAGCAAAGCATTTGGCCACAAGGGTCCCTGGGACTTAGAAAAATGTGCCAACCCAGGCTGTAGCATTAGGGTAAACAGTAGGACAACTTTTGCATCGTATCCTGGTTCCTCTTTGTGCTCCGAGCGAAATCCTACGAGAGATGAACTCCGGCTGGGCCCAGACTGAGGGGATGAAGCTGGATGAGAAAATTCTTCTCTGCCTTTGGCAGGGAGCTGGCTTCAAAGGCCGGTGAGGGCAGAGTGGGGGCCTGAGCAGGCGACAAGACGAGGGCCCTGGCTTTTCATAAAGAGCCTTCCCTGGAGGGTTTTCTCAGACAGCTCACAGCAAAGTCTATTAAGGAAGTCACCTTCCCTCCCAAGTCTGAGCAGCAAACGAGTGGTCATACGTTTAAGGCTGGCTGGGAGGTATAGCGCGCAGGGCCGGCAGCTCAACGGCAAAGCGCTCAGGCTTAGAGATCGTGTCCAGACTTCAGCGCTGGTGAAACCAGAAGCAAGTCGAACGCCTCTTTTTAAGCAGCAGCTGAAGCCCAATCACCAGGGCCATTTCCTAAGGCGTCCCCAGCCCTCCAAGCTCATCCCTGCAGATAATGCACTGCTGCACCCGCCCGGGGCCCCAAGAAACACAACCGTCCGATGCCAGGCCCGGCCGAGGTCCAGCATAGTAACCCAGGGGACCGTCATCCAGGGCATCGCCAGGGGTCACAGGCGACAGAGGGCGAGGGACGCTGCCCCAGAGACCGACCGACCAAACAGCTTACTCGACAGCCAAGGGCGGTGCTCATTTTTCTGCCCAGCGAACTCGGCCACCTGCTCGAGAACACTCTACATCAGGGGTCCTCAAACTACGGCCCGTGGGCCACATGCAAATACAAATATTGTATTTGTTCCCGTTTTGTTTTTTTACTTCAAAATAAGATATGTGCGGTGTGCATAGGAATTTGTTCATCGTTTTTTTTTAAACTATAGTCCGGCCCTCCAACGGTCTGAGGGACAGTGAACTGGCCCCCCGTTTAAAAAGTTTGAGGACCCCTGCTAGATGTCTGTTTCCCCATTTTCTCCTTAAAAGGGTGGGACTTTTTATTGCCCCTGCCCTGTTCCTTCTCCACCACTTTATGATGGGCAAACGGGGCTTAGAGTTCTTCTTTTATGAATAGGTCACATTAGGTGCCACTCTCGCACTTGACAGAGAACTGGACTAGCACGTGACCAGCCCAAAGATGATAACGTACCACGCGGCTCCGCTGGCCTCCCCCGGCCCTGGCTGTGCCAAGTGTGAGCCAAGTGCCTCGGGGGCAGGAGCCATTATCAAGGGGCACGGAGCAGAAAGGAGGAAGGAGCCTGGTTCCCTGCCTGCATCACAGCTACTGTACCAGCCCTGGCTGACCAGCGTGTATGCTTCTGCACGAGACAAATAAACCCCTGGTTTCATACACAGTGTTTTTGGGGTGTCCTAATACTTGTTGGGAAATGTGACCTAAATTAAACAGAGTAATTTTTTATGTTACAGGGTTCCTGTGGATCTAAAGATAAGGTGTATTTCATTACGGACAGCACACAGTACTGTTCACCGAATAGACCCTTTGTAATCTTTTCTTCAACTCTCTGTCGCATTAACAATTCCTGAATGTTCCCTCCTTCTCAAAATACTCCCTTGCTCTCTTTGATCTCTTTGGTTACCCCTTTGGTATACTCTGTGGGCTCCTCTTCCTCTAGCCATCTCCCAAATGTTGATATTCGTCAGGCTTCTGTTCTTTTCTATTTTTTTTTTTTTTAGAAAAAATATACTTTTATTGAGTTCAGAGAAGAAGGGAGAGGGAGAGAGAGAGAGACATCAATGATGAGAGAGAGTCATTAATTGGCTGCTTCTTGCACGCAACCCGGACATGTGCCCTGACCGGGAATCGAACCGTGACCTCCTGGTTCATAGGTCCGTGACCAACCACTGAGCCACACTGGCCCGTGCTGTTCTTTTCTATTGTCACCATACACACAGACAAGGGCATTCTCATTCACTTCAATAATTTCAATGACAATACGCATCCTGCTCATTTAAATATACATTTCCAGTCTAGACTCTGTCCTGAGACCCAGACAGGCGTAGCTGAGTCTCTCTACTTGAATATCACACAATCGAACACGCACGGTGTCCCCTCGCCCAGTGAGTAAGATCACTGCCCCCAAAACCCAAAAGCATCAGTCCCTGCTCTTTCATTCTTTCCATGGTGTCATTCACTATATCCTATTGATTCCATCTCTTAGATAAATCTCAAATCCATACACTTCTCAGCCTGCACCCTGCGACTTCCCTGGCTCAAGGTATCATCACGTCTCCCCTCGATGACAGAAACAGCTTTCCCCCTGAATTGTCCCACTGGCATCTACTCTCCACTCTGCAGCCAGAGTGGCCCTCACACAAATTCAAACAGCCCCTTCCTAGCCCCGCCTCACCCCGTGCCCGGCTCCCGACAGGGAGAGGAGGCAGAAAGCGACGCGGGCTACCATTCCGGGGAAGGTTTCTCTGGGGAACTGACACCTGATCCAAGACCCGGACCAGTAAAACGCATGCTGGCATTTTTTCTGAGGGTTAACAGTCATCGTATGTGCTTTCTAAGTACCTATATTCTGAAATTATAATCGACTCATCTTGAAGGGTCTCCAGCAGTAGGCGTTCTCCAAGCACTTACTTCCAGTAGATTCGTGTTCTTGTTTTCGATGACGGACCGCAGGAGGTCCTGGCTGGTCTGCAGGATGTCCTCCATGTGCGGCAGGCATTCCGACTGGTAGTCGGCGCTGACCACGTTGAAGATGCCGATGCGCTTCTGGGTGACCATACTGACCACATCTCTGAGGTAGTTGAGGAACTTGCCGAGGATGGTTCTGAACTCTGCGGAAGTCAGTTCTTCCATCGTGGCTATTTTCATACTCGTGACTTTGGCCCTCTCCACCATCACGCAGTATTTTATGAACCTGCGGCTGTAACCATTCACCAGGTTCATCGAGTTGCCAAGGATGGTCAGGAGACACACGATCTGTAAATAAAAACGTGACGGCATGTTATTTTGGGAGTGAAAAGAGCATGGCCCGGTAGACTCGGAATTCTGTTAAAAACATGCAAAACAGCAGTTAGCTGTCCAGTTCGTGTCATTAGAAACCTCTGTTAAATAAATATGTTGGAAACATAAGACTAAGACATTCACATCACTTTTTAAAAATATATATATATTTCTTTATTGATTTCAGAGAGGAAGGGAGAGGGATAGAGAGTTAGAAACATCAATGAGAGAGAAACATCGATCAGCTGCCTCCTGCACGCCCCCTACTGGGGATGGGCCCGCAACCAAGGTACATGCCCTTGACCGGAATCGAACCTGGGACCCTTCAGTCCGCAGGCCGACGCTCTATCCACTGAGCCAAACCGGTTAGGGCTCACATCACTTTTTTATAGTTGGCATTTATGTAAAGGTACACAGGCGATTGAACTATATAGTTAGCATGTACTGGAGACACCAACCGGTTATTCCTTTGCTGGTCACCGGGGTTTACTGTATGTGCTCTATGCCCTAGAAAAGGCCAGTCCTAGCCCTGGTCGGTTTGCTCAGTGGTCAGAGCGTCAGCCGACGGACTAAAGGGTTGCAGGTTCGATTCCCTGTCAAGGGCATGCACCTTGGTTGCAGGTTTGATCCCTGGCCCCGGTCGGGGCACAAGAGGAAGGCAACCAATCGATGTGTCTCTCACATCGATGTTTCTCTCTCTCTCTCTCCCTTGCCCTCCCTCCATTTTACTCTAAAAATTAATGGGGGTAGGGGGGAAATACCTTTGGGTGAGAATTTAAAAAAAAAAGAAAGAAAGAAAAGGCCAGTTCTATATACTATGTGACATTACCCAATTCCCAAGACACAGCCACTCTGGATAGGGTAGAATCCTGATCCAAGCTAAAACCATTACATTCTCTCATGAATTTGAACAAAAAATACCCAGTTTGATGTGTCTCTCACATCGATGTTTCTCTCTCTCTCCCTTGCCCTCCCTCCATTTTACTCTCTCTCAAAATTAATGGGGGTAGGAGGGGAAATATCTTTGGGTGAGAATTAAAAAAAAAAGAGAGAGAGAAAAGGCCAGTTCTATATACTATGTGACATTACCCAATTCCCAAGACACAGCCACTCTGGATAGGGTAGAATCCTGATCCAAGCTAAAACCATTACATTCTCTCGTGAATTTGAACAAAAAATACCCAGTTAGATGGTAATGGCTCTCCCTTCCTCTCTGTAAAAAACCAATGAAATATATATTTAAAAAAAATACCAGTTAGATGGTAGTGAGAAAAGCCAGGGTCATGGCAAGTCAACAAAACAGCAAGACGATATTCAGAGGGGACCATGAAAGAGAAAGCCCATTCTCAGAGGTTTGTTGGGGAATAAAAAGTGAACAGAGGTGAAATATCATGAGGAAGAAAAAAATGGGAAGGATTTTCCAATCAATGAAAAAATTATCGTATAATTTATAACAAGTCCCTTTCATCTAAGAACGTCAGTGGGTTTCTGGTCATTAAACCAAATATTCCCCAAGACACACTGTTTTTAAACTTACTTTATTTTGGTAGGTAGGGTCCATTTCAAACAGGATCTGACAATCTGGCCATCTGGCTTGCTCCTTAGAGTCTGCCCCACTTTGTGTCACATTCAATAACTCCGGATCAGTAAAATCAGACAGGCGGGGATCTTGGTCAAGAGGAATAATTTGGGCTAAAATATATGAGTAAAAAGTTAATATTTTCCGAAGTCCCGACACCGTGTAATCACCCATGACATCTAGAACTACTGATAACTGAAACTGGTTTACCATGGGGACCAGACAGTACAAATGGGACCTAAAGGCAGGTGTAAACGTTGGGGTTTAATATTAGGGAAACAAAAGAACCACTCACAGGTAATTGGTGGTAGCGCGACGAGGCATGATTAAAACAGAAACTGAGAATAAGCCATTAAGTCCAACGACCCTTTCACAGGGGTCACCTAAGACCATTGGAAAACACATCTATAATTACATATTGTTTTTGTGATTGATCACTATGCTTTAATGATGTTCAATTTGTAACAATGAAAATACATCCTGCATATCAGATATTTACATTATGGTTCATAACAGTAGCAACATGACAGTTATGAAGTAGCAATGAAAATAATTTTATGGTTGGGGGTCACCACAACATGAGGAACTGTATGAAAGGGTCGCAGCGTTAGGAAGGTTGAGAACCACCGCATTAAGTTAACAATGATTTGACGTGGATATGCTATGGGAAGACCATTATACCAATCTGCGGATACAAAGATTAGAAGACACCGCCTCTACTATCAATGAGTTCATAATCTAGCTGCACGCCTGGATGTCCACAGGCAAAAAAATAACTTGCACCTACACTTTATACATTAGAAAGTATCAACTCAAGATGAATCGTATCCCTAAGAATAAAACACCCATCTATAAACCTTCTAGGAGAAAATGTAGGAAAGATCGGTGTGACTTGAGTTAGACAGAGAGTTTTTAGACATAAAATCGAAAGTATAATCTATGAAGACAAAAAAATTGATAAGCTGTACTTGATCAAAATTAAGAAGTTTAGCTCTGTGAGGAAGAAGTGAAAGGGTCAGGCATATTTTGCAAATCTTATAACTAATCAAGAACTTGTATCGAGCGTACATATAAAGATCTCTCACCACTCAACAGTAAGGACAATGAGACACTGGATTCCTGAGCTTACAAAAGGAAATCAAGCAATGCATTGGAGCCCGGCCGGTGCGGCTCAGTGGTTGAGTGTTGACCAGGAGGTCAAGGTTAAATTCCCAGTCAGGGCACATGCCAGAGTTGCGGGCTCAACCCCCAGTAGGGAGCATGCAGGAGGCAGACGATCAATGATTCTCTCTTATCACTGATGTTTCTCTCCCTCTCCCTTCTTCTCTGAAATAAATAAAAATATATTTAAAAACAAACAAACAGTGAATTGGATACCAGTTCAGAAAGAGGGACCTCTGAGCTCAGCAAACTATGGTGATGTGGTTGGAGAACGATGCTGCATTCAAGGAGCTGCATCGGGTCCTGGTGTTCCAGGATCGACTGAGACTGTGGAGAAGGGATCAATTCATGGGTCAGGCTGGTGACTGCCATGTCATGTCAGATTGTGTGCACCCAGCTGGAACAGCATTAATCAAAATCTATTTAAGCCCTGGCCAGTGTTGCTCAGTGGATAGAGCGCCGGCCCGCACACTGAAGGGTCTCGGGTTCAATTCCCGGGTCGAGGGCAGGTACCTGGGTTGCAGGTTTGATCCCAGGCCCTGGTCTCGGTGCATGCAAAAGGCAACCGATCAATGTGTCTCTTTCACATCTCTCTCTCTCTCTCTCTCTCTCTGTCTCTCTCCTTTCTCTCTCCGCCCCCTCCTTTCCACTCTCTCTGAAAGCAATGGAGACTATCCTCACGTGAGGATTAACAACAACAAAAAAATCTATTTAAGGTGGAAAGAATACCTTTGTTTTGCTGATATAGAAGATATTACTTATTTAAGTCTCATAAAATTCTGTAGTACATTATTGAAAAAAAAACAAATCCAAGCCCCCACTATTTTCCTGCTTCTATGGTTGTGTGTATAATTCCCACATGCTCAAATAATTTCAAATCCACATCGATTGATCCCAAAGAGTGTGAATCCATGATCTCTAATACACTGTAATGTCTGCCACATACCTGGGTAAAAGCTTCCAATCCCTCAATTTCAGAAAATATTGCTGAAGGATACAATGCATCTAATGAAACACTTAAAACACTTACTTATGCATTTCTCAAGATCGGCCAGCATATTCTGAATTTTTATCGAAAAGTCCCGTCTGTTGGGAGCAATTGAGAGATTCGTAGGGAATTCTAAAAATCTACGAGAGAAAACGATGAGAGCGAATTTCAACACGATGCCGGAACGAACGTCAAGTCGAATTACTTGTAACTTCAGAAGTGCGTGCGACTTACTCATCGTTCTCGGTTTTATTATCAAAATCATCCATGGCTTCTATATCTATTAGAATCCATTGAAAGAAAGAGAAGAAAAACATTGATTGATATTTATATCGGCTAAAGGACAAGCTGCTCTGTTATCAGTGCTTCCCAAACACCCTAAGAATCACCTGGAAAGGCAGTGCCCAGCCAGCAACCCCCCCTCACCCCCAAATCTGATGAAGGACGTCTCAGATGGAGTCCGAGAGTCTGCATGTTAACGAGCACCCCAGGTGCTGTCCGTCCTCGTGAAGGGGGCTCCTCGGGTCCCCCTCAGCGACCAGTGGTATTAAGATTAAAAAATGGGTGTTGGCGCTCCTGCTCGCATCCACCACAAATGGCCTGTTCCGTTTATACTCCCTCGGAGCCTCCTTCCTTCGACATGGCTCAACGTCACAATTTACCGCGCGATAATCCGTAACGATGTGTTTTTCTCTCCCTTGTGATGTCCCAGGTGTCAGGCTATTTCCCTTTGGGCTTACCCGCCTCATTCATCTCACCTGAAAGGATTTCTACAAGGTTCAAAGTCTTGGGTTTCTGCTGCATCATTAGGAGCTCATAGTTGGAGGGTTTGACGCTGCTGACTTCACTTTCCGATATTTCCTCCTCCTGGGACAGCAAGGATTTCTCAGAGAACTGCTCGGATTCCTGGAAGCTCTCCCTGGAGCTGCTCGAAGAATCGCTCTCAGAAGGAATTCTCAGGTGTAGACTGACTTCAAATACCGGTGCGTATTTTGTCACGTCCTTGTCCAATTTAATGGAATTGAAAATCTAATGTGACAGATAGGTTACAGTTCTGGTGATAATATAGAAGTAAAAGGACATTTAGATAACACAGTCCTAAATTTTACATGATCAATAATAACTTCAGGTTAACCGAGTAACACTGTATTGCCAGATAACTGCTATTTGCATGTTTAAAAAAAAAAAAGTAAGTGAATGGAAAAATAAATGAAATACTGCAGTATTTTCCCCAAAACTGTATAAACGGATACCAGAGTGGCCAAATAGTAATCATTTTAGAGCTTAATAAATACAAATTCTTAGGCCCCATCCCGAGAGATTTTGAGTTAAAGGGTGAGGGGTCAAGGCCAGGAATCTGAATCACTTAGAAGCTGCCCTGACCGGTTTGGCTCAGTGGATAGAGCGTCGGCCTGCAGACTGAAAGGTCCCAGGTTTGATTCCGGTCAAGGGCATGTACCTTGGTTGCAGGCACATTTCCAGTGGGA